GCCTTAACTGTCTATATAAAAAGTCAAAGAAATTCATAAGATATTTTAACAAGTAAACTGGGAAGCTATCACCATCTTTTAAACATGACAGTCATACACTGTATTTGCCTCTGCTTATAATCAATCTGTTGTAAGTAAGACACACTGAACTCAAGATACCGACAGAAGTATCACAGGTTCAAGCCTGGGCAACTTAGCAACTTAATGGCATCATGTCTCGAAAAGAATGGGCTGGATATGTAGTGCCATCTAAAGATGTTGGGTTCATTCCCCTGTATAACACACATACACGCGCACACATATGCAAAAAAGATACACAGACACTGATATTTTAAAAACGGGACTTAGTAAATATATTTGGGCATAAAGACAAATGACTGTAAATAAAATGACAGATAAGTTAAATGTCAAAAAGAGTAATTGTTGACAGTTTTCACAGTGGAACAATTCTTAGTAAAATTCCGAACTAAAAAGTATAATCCTCCCTCTACTTCCATCCAGTTGCATTACCAGATTCAGTGTATAAAGCTATGTTCCAGGTAGTTTACATTTCTAATTTAGAATTAAAAAGTAGGGTGACATAAATATAAAGAGGCTTTACTGATACTGAGGCTTGGATCTAGGGCCTCAGGCATACTAGGCAGGTGCTCTATCAGAGATTAACATCCCCAGACCCTCAACTGTTACCATATTTAACTTCTCTCTGTAGATATTTACTTGCTACTTCATGGGGAAAAAAATAAAAGCATTCCTTTCTGGTATCTCAAAGTAAATGACTTTCTCTTCTACCTCGATAGTGCCTGAATTCTTTCCCACAGCTAAATTTTACAAATTGTTCTGTACTCTTTTGCTGCTTATTGTCTGTCTATTCTTGCTCCAGTGCTTGCCCTCTCTTCTTTTGTGGTCAAAATTTTTAAAGCATAGTCTGTATTTGTCACTGCTATTTCAACTTTAATGCTTTATCTAGTACCATATATTGAATTTTGAAATGTTTCGCAATGTATTTGTCATGCAGTAAAAGATTTAAAAAAAAAAACAACAGGCTTTCTTGCTACAGTAATGTCCAGTGGGCCATATAAAAGTCATTCAGGTTGCAAGGTAAGTATTGTGTAGGACTGGACTGTACCTTGCAACAGATGTATGGCATTTCTGACCCTTGCATTTCTTGTCATTGCAACTCAGGATTATAATCCTCTTTATACTAAAGAAACTATGTATGTCCCCAAAATTGCCTCTAGATGGCAATATTATCCTGGGGGCTTTTGTAGCAGTGATTTATACATAAAAATAGAAAATATCTTAAAGTTCTGCGTATGATCATCTCATCTTAGACGCTTCAAAAAGCTGGGACCACGTAACATTAACGCAAATTAGAAGAGTTAAATAGACTATGGTTTGGTTTAAATAGTTTTAAAAACATTTAAATTTCAAAATAAATATAGCACTGGTCACCACCATCTGACTGAATATTTCACTTTATCTGCCTAAATAATTAAAGCTGCTGAGCTAAGAATAAAAAGGTCTTAGTTCTCTAAAGGGGCTTAGTATAAAGACCAAGGCAGATGGATTCCTACTTTTGCTGTGAAATCCCTGAAACATTTGATATCTGAATTTAGCTCCCAGATAGAGATCCTAAATGCAATTTGGATGATGCCTTAAGATTGTACCCATCCCTTGACATAAATTCTACCAACAGGTCAGAAAAGTCGTAACTGCATACCTAGGGAGAAAAACCTTTTTTTCTTAAAGGCCAGGGGTCTCAGTATGTTGCTCTGCCTGACCTGATACTTCTTGGTTTGTGTTCCTATTACCTTATCCTCCCCACTACCACAGACCACGCCTGGCTAGAAAAAAATTTTTTATGTAAAAGATCCTAACCTAGACCTAGGAGTAGAATAAGGGATTGCTCTGGACCTGAAGATATTTCATTTCTTGTTCTAAATGCACAATTAATAAGTCTATTTCCTTTTTTAAAGTTCATACTGAAATTTTCTAATGGAACCCAGAAATATAGAGAATGCTACAAGATTTCTGATAAACTTATTCCCTTTGCTAATTTAGGAACCACTTTTCACCAACTGTTCAAAGTGCTTCCATTACTCATCTTTAAGTCATTTCAATATTAATGGGAAAAATCAATATCCAGCAGCGTGCCAAATGACATCTCCTTCAATTTTGGGAGACTACTTTCTGACCCAGGCAAGTACCAAAATGTATATAGTGCGCCAAGAGAAATTTGGGGAAACAGATGGCGGTATCAACCTTAAGAAGACTGGTCTTCACTTAACGCCTTTTTGCCACTGGGAAAGCAGAGCCTAAAGCTGGTCAAGAAAGGGAATCCTGGAAGGTTAAGAACCATGGCTAACAGCTGTGGCTCCTGCCATCGTCCTCCTGTGGCCACCTCTTTCCAGGGAAGCTGAGGAAAAGCGGGGATAGGCCAGCCATACATACCCTGCTCACGGGGAATCCGCACCAGGCAGTCCACCATGCCTTTGTACCGCGCTTCCGGGCTGATCTGCTTAGACGAGGCCTGCACTTGCAGCAGCAACTTGACACGCTCGATGGGCGCCACTGCGGTCTTGGATACGGCCGCTGCGACCCCACCAGCCAGCAGATCTTTCCCGAAAGACGCGGCGTCAAACAGCCGCTTTTCTGCCTTCTCCGGCTTCTTCTTACCTGGCTCACGCTGCATCGTGAGGTGATAAACTTAAATTACCACACCAGCAGTTTTAAACCAAGGCCAAGACCAAGACGAAGTGAAGCAGGAAACCGCTTGAGCAGTTTCCTGGCCACAAAGCAGCGCTAAGGACACTGGGAGGCTAGCACGCTCTGAAGGGGTAAACTGCGCAGGCGCATCCAACGGCTTTGGCCCCGCTGCCTCCTGACACGTGACTGGTGCCACGTGGCTCCTGACTGATGGATTCTGGTTGGAGACACGTGTGCGTGTTGCTTCGCGTGTTGCGCAGGTCTGCAAGTCAGACACAGCAGGAACAGAGTGGCAGTGGCTTAAAGGATGGGTTGTGTGGAGACACATTTACCAGCGGAAACGGAGACAGACCAGTAAGTCAAGTGACTGGGAATAAACAAATTTAACTTTGATTCTCCTGTACTTTCTCTTGGAAATTACATAATCTTGAGTTTTGTTTTGCTTTTCTCCTTTCCTTGCCCCACTCCCCTCCCTTGTTCCCATCCCCCTTTTACAATACCTCTTAGGCATTTTGGTCCTTATTTACACTTTCAGTTTCTCACACTAAAGAAACAATGCAGTGTTTACACGTGTGCCCAATGAATTGCACTTAAGAGAACGGTCTCAAGGTGCAACCATTTACCTAGAAATGTCTCTTATGAATTTATTCACTTATGGAAGAAAGTTCCCCATTGTGTGTAAAGAAACACATCTTTATCCATTCACCAGTTGATCAGCAGAAACCGAGACAGATTTTCAAGATTTAGCTACTAGAAACTGTATCGCTATAAACATAAGATGGTCGTATATCACTGTTAAATGATAATTTTATTTTTTTCCTGGGAGGTACCAAGGAAGGGAATAGCTGGGTCAAACGGAACCTCTAGTGCTACCTTTTGAGGAATCTCCACACTGACTTTTACAGTTGTTGCACCAGCCTACACTCCCACCGTTGGAGAAGGGTTTCTTTTTCACCACAAAACCTGTGCAAATCTCATTTAATATAGCAGGGGTAATTGTCAAGCCATTTTCCCACTGGGCTGCTACCCCATTAGGACATTTCAGTGTGTTTATTTTGAGACAGGGTCTTGCTGTGAAGTGCAGGCTGGCTTTGAACTCTCTGCAGTCCTTCCGCATCAGCTTCCCAAGTCCTGAGATTACAGATGTGCACCATTGGCAGGCAAGTGTGTTATGGTATAGTAATACTGTCACTGGCAAAAAAAAAAAAAAAAAGCCACGTAGGCCAGGACTCTAGACAAGGAATCTTGAATATGTCGATTGCCTTACATAAAACCTGCTGGAAAGTTCTGTTAGTGTATATTGTATTTGGAATTCTTTTCACAGTGGCTTACTCTTTTACTTATTTTTAACTGGGAAATGAATTTAGGACCTCTAGCCTGCTGGCCAAGCACTGCCTCAGCCTCCTAAATAGCTGGCATTACAGCATTCATCTTAATGGGTTTTCAAGTGTTTCTGTTTTGCATGTTAATGCCAGATGACTGTTTTGAAGCAATTGCTTTAATCATCATCCCTAAGCTTAAAAACATTTAATCTGTTGCACTGGTTTCAAAGTGCTTTGTAAATTCATAGCAAATGCCAGAAATGACAGTCTTTTTATCTACAAAAATCAGAAAAGTGAAAATGTTCAGTCTCCCTTAGGCAATCTGAAGCAAACACAAAAGGAAAAATCTACAGGGGAATTAATTGAATCAGGTAGGACCGACTTTAAAGAGTCAGGACAAACCATCTCTGATCACAAGGAATGTATTTGTCAGGACAGAAATGTTCCTTCCTCACCCTTCCAAGTCCTACATTTAACTTGATGGTCAACATTATAGCATAATGTTTCTGATAATTTATTTATACATATATTCATTGACAAATCAGACGAAAGTGAAAGCACCTAATTAGAAATGAAGCATTTTAACCTTAAGAAATCTGAATCAACTTTTCAATAGATGAGACCTAAAATGTTTAATTTGCTGTGTTACATTTACTGATTTATGAAAGGAAAAAAGTTCTAGCATCTTAATACTATACATACAGTCTCGGGGTCTTTGCTATATTTACTCATTTTTTCTCTACAAAACAGCATGATAAAGCTTCCTCACAGCAGGGCTGGGGTCCCATTAGCAAACTCTTCACTGGCCACCCTATTTGCCATACCTCATCTCTGTTTTGTTGCTTCACTAATTTTTTTTTCTTTTACCGTTTACTTATCTATCTTGTCCTCTGTCTGCCTCTGCCACATCCTCAGCATCCAGAGTACTGCTTGGCAAAGGGTTGAAATGTATGCATGAAAAGTCAACACAAATGCACACAAGCCTCCAAACCATTTTATTTAAAACTATCAACACAGTATAAAAATAGGTTTAATTATATAGAATATAGAAATAAAACTATAAAATTAAATTATTTCACACAGTTTAGTATATATAAAGGTTTAATACCACTTAATATTTTAAAATATTCAAAGTATGAATCCTTGTTCTCAAAACTGGTTAGTGATGAATATAATTTTTCACTTTCCAACACACTGTAGCAGCAGGTATGGTTTAGCTGATTCTCTGTTTTTCAACCACTGTATATCTAATAATAAATAATAGTAATAGCTAATACTTTGATAGCACACATTACATACTAGTCATTAGAGACTACAAGCAATTAGAGCAAACAAGAAATAATGTTCAAAAAAGACAAACCTAATGAATTGATCGTACAGCTTTCTCCATTTATATTAGATATATAAAAAGGCAGGTACTGCAAAATTATCTTGTCAGTATACATCATCATTAATAGACCCTTGGCACAAGAAAGAAATGTTCCTTTACTAGGTAGAGGTCTCAGACACGATAAAAACAAAACCTAAACAAAGAGGAAAAGAAAAAGAAGGGAGGAGAGAAAAATGTCTAAAATGTAATTCTCTGAGGCTAAGAAATATGATAAATGGTACTTGGTGTTTAAAATACTAGTTGTACATTTTTTTCAATAGTCTGGTGGAACAGAGGATTAAGATGATGCTAATAAAATCCAGTTATAGTTTCTGTTAAATAATGGCTATTGGGGTATCTGTACTGTCACTTTATTTTCCTAAGTAAAGACTTAGTAAAGTGATAAACAGGCACTGTATTGTCTAAACATGAGGTTGATCTACTTGCAGATGTAAATCTCAACATAGTTGGAAAAACAGTCAGCTAAATTTACTTATAATGCTCCCTTCAGTATTCATTTAGAGATGAAAACCAAGATAATGTTTAGTTTTACTTGTTAAGAATGCAATGCCCGCTAGATGCCTATAATCCCAGCACTGTGGAAGGCTGAGATATGAGGATCACAAATTCAGGCTCAGCCTGGGCAACTTAGCAAGACCCTGTCTTAAAAAAAAAAAATGATGGTAGGATGTAGATAAATGAGAAGGCCCCAGGTTCACCCCCCTCCCAAAAGCAATGCCTCTGAAACATGGAAAATACAGTGCATATGTACAATATAGCAAATGATCCTCCTAAGATCAGCAGCCTACTTTGCATTTCTATTCCACTCACTGAGTGGAGGTCTCACGATTCTTTGATGTGAAAGCATTAGCAGATCAGAGTATAAAATGAAGCAAAAAGGTTCCCTATATTCAAATCCCAAGTCTTAATTTTATCAGTGAAAACCTGAGGTGATCAACAATTACATTTAATAATAATTATTAGCAGTTTGTAGTGTTTTCGGGGGTCATATCCAAAATTTTAATAAATACATTCGAACAAGGTACTTTAATACATATATATGCACACATAAGACAGAAGTTACCACTTATTTAATATTGTGATCTTATGGGGAGGATATTACAAGCTATACTTCAGTTAACAGTTGAAGAACCAAAGTTTCTTATCCTGAATTAGATGCCAAAATTAAGGCCCACAAGTCATTAACGAGATATATGTGCTATGGTTTGTATCTTAAACACCTAGCTGACAATATTTAAACTGATGACATGGGTAATATTGCTTCTAATTAACTCAAAAGTTGCAGGCTGTCTTGCAATTAGTTGAAGCTTGTGAGGAGGGGGAAATGCAGAGACTTACTTGATGGGCTGGTATAATTTACTTTCCAACATGTAAATTCTGAAGATTGAACAATCCAGTATTGAAAAGTTTTGAAGGAATATGAGTCTATAGGAGGATCCATTGGGTAATTATCAGTTTAAAATGCAGAATTTGTTTTAATCTTCCTTTCCCTTAATATGCCAAATTCTCAGAGCAAAGAAAATTCTCAACCAATTAATTTCTTTTTTCTATTAAAGATGAATTAAAGTATTATTCATTAAAGTGCTCTCCCTTTAGAAAAGCCCTATACATAATGATCCATATGTGTAAGACAAAACTTGGTATTTTACTAGAGAACACGATTGTGTTTTGAAAAAGATTTACATATAAACTTCCCCAAACTCATAAACCATTTAAAATAAGTCTAGCTGAATGTACTTCAATGAAAAGAAACAACAATGAAAATTTACAATTTGAAAAATACATCTTAGTAAAAACTGAGCTTACTTAGAAGACTATCAAATAAATAAAAATAAGTTTTCTTTTCATCTTTCCCATCTACCCCTGCAGTTGCAGTATCTATTAAGGTACTTTTTTTTCCCTATTAAGCTACTTTAATGAAAAGTATTTGATCTGTTTGGAAATCAGTATGGACGTTACAAATTTAGGTACTGACCACTAGGCAAGGAAAACAAAATAACAGCACCTTTTTTACTTAAGAGGATTTTCAAAACCTCACTGCAGTAATCTTAGTGGACATGAAAACTCTTGAGCTCAGAGATATACAAATACTTGCTCATGTCACCACACTATTTACAGAACCTGGTCACCTGCTCCCAATATCTTGATTCCTTCACCAGATATAAATTAGTTTTAGAAAAATAAACAAAAAATGGGTATTTCCCCATAATAAGCATTTCCACTATTAATTTTATATGAAACGCTTCACATTATTTCAGATTAGACAATAAATTAATGTACCAAGATGGCAATAAATTAATAATCCATTCATATTTTCATCAAGTATCAAGTCTCACAACACTACATAAGATTGATGCATCAAGTACAACAGCATATATATTTAACAAAACTATGTTCAGTATTGAACAGTGAAAAGAAGCTAAGCCTTTAGTGTATAGATTACCACTAACATTATTTTATGCTCCACCCGTGTGTCAGTTTACATCATCAAAACACAGCTACAAGGTTAATCCAAAGAATAATTTAAAAGCCATTTCAATGGCAATTTCAGTGACAGAGTCATGAAAACATACATAAAGTTCCTGAGGTTTTGGATGAAGAAAGAGTCTCCTGCAGAAAAAAAGAACATATTCATTTCAGAAATTAAAATGACAAAAAACCCCTTTCAACTTAGTTTATTTTTTGTTTTTGAAAGCAGCAGTAGTACACTTTTAAAAACACTAATTTACGTCTTTAAAGGAAGAATGCAGTTAGATTTATTGTGTTTCTAAATAAACAGCATATGCCTTAGGTCAGTGTTGGCGAACCTTTTAAAGAGACCTACTCCCAAATTGCAATCCCAACCCACTTATTTATTGCAAAGTCTCAACACTGCAGTTAAACCTGAACACTGATATTTTAGTTTAGAAAAAAACTCTACATTAATATCTTTTGTCTTAAAAGAAAAACATGACATGCATATCATAAGTTTACCATCGTCTGTTATTTTTATAAAGTAATATAAAACATAAAAATCTTACTTTATCAACACATAATACCATATCCTTTAGTTTAAAACAGTAAAACTATTACAGTATAATCAATAGCATCAGTATCATTTTAGGCACAATATTTTATTAGACATTTTATTGCCACTTTCTAAAGTTTATTAAAATATTAAATATATGCTAGCTCATATGGCCATAGATCTAGGATTAACATTACATTTTTGTTAACTAAAACAAATACTAGTTTTATCTTCCAACAGCACAGCTCTGATTACAAAAAGTAGGTGCTTTTAACTTAGTACCACTGTCTGCCTTTTCCTTTTTAGTTCTTTATTGCAACATGAAGACTCTGTAGTATTTCCATCAAAATTCAGTTCTTTAGACAGTCAGCAAATAAAGTTGATACAAAGAAAAATTGAATACTTAATGAGGGAAGAGACTACAAAACATCACGAGATGACCTGTTAGCCCTGCTCTCAATATCAATGAGCCAGAAATGCAGAAGTTAAGGGATAGAACATTCCACACAGAAGGAATAGAAGAAACAAGTCTTGAATGGTGGCAGACTGGATGATTCACAGTGGACAGAGGAGAGAGAGAGGAGACAGAAGTAGAGAGTCAGGTTGAACTCGGTCTTGTTGGGGGAGAGAGGAGGTGAAAAAAGAGAAAAGAAGCAAAAGGGAAAGAAACTAGAGAAAAATTGCAGAATTCTGTTGCTGATTTTGTAAGATAACTGAACAATCTTTTCTTAATAGAAAAGATGGGAATGATTTAAAGGAACTCTGTAGCAAATAAAATACATTAAAATATTGTAGTAGAGTAATAATTTCATGCAGTGGTAACTTGAATCTAGATGTGCCTACCTCATGTACTCACAGGTGGGGCTTTTCACAGGAGGCTGGATCTAGGTTGTGTGAGTGTGGATTAAGGGTGTGTGCATATGGATTAAGGGTGGATAACTAAGTTAGGTCACTGATTGGTTTATTACAGTTCTGGGTGTGGGTAGCACCGCCCAAAAGGCTTGCAGAGTCTAGATGGGGTAAAAGGGAGTGGGGGGCCTGCTGCTGCTGCTGCTTCACTGCTTTCTGCCTATCACACTGTGAACTGTGTCTCTCTGATGCCTCTGCCATGCCAGAGGCTTGGAGCCATCTGACTATGGCCCGAAATCTCTATAAACTGTGAGCTGAAATAAACCTTTCCTCCTTTAACTTGTGAGTATCGAGTATTGAGCCTTAGTAATGAGAAAAGTAAGATACATGTTAAATTTAAAAAATTAATGCTGGTGTGGTGGCACATATCTGTGATCCTAGCACTCAGGAGGCTGAGGCAGGAGGATTGCCATGAATTCAAGGTCAATCTGGACTATAGAACAAGACCCCTGTCTCCGAATAAAATTAATGTCCTTTATTACTTTTCTTTTGCTTTTTTAACATTTTATTTTACTTTCAAACACTTTTTTCCTACTTACCCTACTACCCAGTAAGCCATAACTGGTGGTGCTTTTTTCTGATCCGTCCAGTTTTCAAGTGAGCATTCAAATAGCACACCGTGTTCTTTCACAGGATTCAAAGAGCATACTGAATTTGCAGAATCCAAATAATCTGTGCCATTTAGTGCTTTCTTTTTCTATAAATTAACAGACATAATTTATATTAACTAGTATTAAGTGTTTTGTCCACATACAGGATTTGAATTGGTTCATGCTAATTATGCAAGTGCCTGCAATGCCATTAGCTTTCTCTCAAAATTTAGTTTAAATACTATTTCCTGACGAGTCTCTTTCAGGGAGCAGTGGATGCACTGAATGGAGTTAATTCACAACCCTGTATTACTAATATTTACATTACATTACATTAGCAGTGTATAGGTCTGTGCCTTCCAGTAGAAAACAGAGAATTACTAAGTTGCTCTTCGAGGACAGAAGCAATATAACTTTCACCTCTGGGTTTTTTTTAATTTACTTATTTTTTGTATAAGGGTATTGAATCCAGGTCCATCACACTGATCTAAATCCCCAGCCCTCTTCTCCTCCCCTCCCCTTCATTTCTTTCACCTTCTGAATTCTACTCAACTGGGTACAAATGTTCTATCTCTTTCAGAAAAATGCCAAAAGTTCTTGTCATGGTCTTCCCCAAGCATGGCTCTGCCACCTCTGAGATCTAATCTTTGCCCATCGCTCATCTCATGTCATGCTAGAATTGCCCCAGCTCCTCCCCAGCTTTGCATTTGCTGTTCCCTTGTGTGGAGCTTGGGCCTCCAGATAGCCACATGGCTAGCTTCCTTACTCAGTCTCTGTTTAAACATTACCTGACATGATCAGAGGAACCTTTCATAATAGTATCTCCCACATCTCAGCCTATATTTAGTATTCTCTTGACACTCATCCTCCCTGACATTATCTGCTAATTTCTTAGTGTTCTCTCTCCATTACAAATAGGCTACAGCTATCAGTTTTGTTCTCCATTTTTAAGACCTAAGATAGGTTTGGTGCAAAGTAGATACTCCAGTACTTAAAGAACATAGAAAAAGCTACTTTAAATTACTAAATATTATGAAATAAATTAATGAAATATTCCCTCTTAGAATTGACCAGTTATATTAAATAGGGAAGGAGGAACATAATCCAGAGCACATGGCATTGCTTAATAACAATTTCTGAAAACTTGAAGAAATCCTATACGGCAGAATTTTATTACTTAAAGCCCCGAGAGATGATATAACTAGCTCTGTTTACTTTATCATTGAGGAAATTGGTAGAATTGAAGCTCAATCTAAGATCCCTTATTCCTACCCTAAATACCTCACATATTTGGCACCCTTATACACATATTTCTGTATACACTGAAACCATCTTCAGAGTTTGTTTTGGGGTGGAGTGGGACTTTTTTTGGGGGGCGTGGATATTTGACCAATTATTACATGCTTATCCTTCTCAAAAAAATTAGCATCTAATTTTTTGTCATCAAAACAGCCTAACTGATATTTTAATTATATGCAGCATTACTAACCCAGCAACATTAAATGAATTGATCCTGGAATCAAAAACAGGCAAACAATCAACCAAGTACTGAAATATGTGCAATAGTATTATGTCTGTAGCTATATTGGAACCCATCTTATTCCAAAATATTTACGTTTCAAGTATTCTGCCAATAATATAATCAGTTATTTTAGGAACTATAGATATTATTGCCTATGTAATGGCTGAATCACGGATAACATACAGGAAGTTAATTTACATCAAGCTATATTCTACTTTGCTACAGAAAACACAGGCTGCCATTTCCTGAGGCAGTAATCTAGGACAAAGCTTTGAGGTTAAGTACTATGTGTATAATCCTTTGGCACCCAAGTTAGATTGCCTAGTTAAGAGAGAATGCTGCTGAACACACTGACTAGATAACAATGTTTAGACATCTGGAAATTAGCAGAAAATTTTTTCAATATAGCTAGAAAACAGTATTTACCTCTTCTACCAACGTCTTTTGGAAAAGTGAACGAATGGAAAGACAACACTGATGGAAGTTCTTTATAAGTTGAGAGTGCACAGAGCCCCCTAGCTGTGCCACTTCTTCGTGAGTAGGTGTAATGAAGATTCCTTGTACTGTTTCTAAGGCAACATAGTGGAAAAGTGTGTTCTCAGGACCAGATGTCAATCTTGGGAAAAACAGAGACAGAGGAAAGAAAAAAAAAATTAAGTAAATTATTTTTTATTTTTTGGTACGGGGATTGAACTCACGACTGCATGATTGCAAGACAAGTGCTTATGCCACTGAGCTAATCCCTGGCATAAAATTAAGTAAATTTATACTTTCTGCTTCATTTTGAATTTCATAAATTCTTATAAACTTTTATCTACAAGTAATGCAATTAAGGAAGGGAAACTGGGACAAACATTTAATTCTCTCCTTGCCCTTAACTAAAGTAAAAGTGAGGATTATTATTAATTCTCTAAATAGGGCAAACACTGCATTGGGTGAGGATAAATAAAGCCCAGTTCATTTGCAAGTAACCTAATCGTCCCTTTGCTAAACCGCCCATATTGGCTAAGCCCCTCTTTTTCCACAGTTAGGAATGAATAACTCAGCTCACATCAGGCCTAGAAACCATAAGTAAGGTATTGGTCTAGAGTAGACCACATATAAAAATATTTTTCAGCAAACTAAGCAAATTTAAATCAGTACCATTTAAGTCATTTGCCATGAGAGTAAAACTGATGATCCTGAAGAAATATAAAACTATTATTACCAATTACAAAGTTGGATTAATATTTTGTAATACTGTGGAAAAAACTGGTAGTATGCTACTTCTCTTAATTACAACCTTCCTTCTCTATTATGTTCTTACTATTTTCAGTTTTCTTCTCCATGTTTTCCTCCCTTATTTAATTTCAGATACTGTAACAGAACATATAAGTACTGCTAATTTCTACCAGTATAAGAAGTGCTGAAAAACTATAAGAACAAAACAATAATAGTTACCATATAGTGAATATCTCCCATGTGCCAGGGTGGGTGTTTTGAGTTACCTTATTTTAAATTCTCATAACTCTGAAAGATATTAAATATTAATATCCTCATTTTAACATGAGGAAATGTTTAATGGGCTTGGATTAAATTGAGGTCACAGAGCTAACTGCCAGAGCCTAGCTGACTCTGAAACTTGCTTTCCTGTACCTTGTTTTTTTCTCTCCACTGCTGGTATTTTATTGGCAGTCTTTAAAAATATAGACAGAAATTCTCCACCTGCATCTCAAACACTTAAATTTCCCATTCTAAGTCTTCTGTGTTAAAGGCTATCTATGCTGAAAATTACCTTCAGTTGATTTTCCCCCCGTCATAAGCACAAAGGAAAGGAAAAGGCACATTTTACCTCTTAGCCTTGGTACTACTTCAGTCATGCATGCTAGTTAAATTCCTGTTAACCAACTAACTAAGTAGCATGATCTGAATAAACTTATTATTGAGACCAGAGATAGAGAAGAAAATCATCTATAAATTATTCTTACACTACTTAGCAGGGTAGCTGGCTCATTAACAACTGATAGTTTCCATCTTTCAAGAAATAAAAATGTGACTAATCAAGGTGAAAAGAATTACAAGGATTCAAAAAGGAAAGTAATTTAAAATACATAATTTATGTCAATAGCTTCAAACTCAAAGAATAGAAATTATTCTTTAAAATCTATTAATGAGATTCTTTTGGGGAGAAGTTACAGAACATTTTGTTATCTATATTTTCTTTCAAAGATAAACCATAACTCAGGGAACAAATTTAACTCTGGGAAACCATAGTTGCTCAACATATATTAACTGAAATTTAAAAAGTCACCAGACAAGCAACCACCCAACAGGAAAACAAAAGATTTGTACTCCCCCAAGAAACAAAAAACTGTAAAGTCAGATTTGTTCTTCAGAAAGGTAGCTGTTGCTACAGAGAATGGATTCAGAGTGAACTGGGAAAGGGGAGGCCGATGCAATAAAACCAGGGAGAGAAAATGGGAGCTTGAACCAAGGTGGTATCAATAGAGGCTGACTGGACTGAAAGATACTGAAATCCAGAATGAGGAGGACATAATTACTGGTGGGTATGTATCACGTATTATTCTCATTGGCCATTCCAGGTCAGTAAGAATAAATGCACATTTTTTGGCATGTCTTTAAATAGGGCAGCCTACGAGTTACACCACATGTGAATTTGTTTAAGCTACTGAACTTGAAAGAGATTTTACATTATGTTTACTAGAGATATGATCAAAATAACATATGGTAAGAAGGTAGAAAAATTTCAGAGTAGTAGCCCTTGTTGAATAGGACAATAGAGTTTTACAGAAGTATTATGGTTCCATAAAAAGTTTGATTCAGATTTAAAAAATAATTTTCATGATTAAAAGTTAAACATTCTTAAGTGGAAGTAAACCTAGTTTGTGCCCTAACTAAAAATTTTTGTTACTGGAAACTCTTACAAACTTGAACTTAATATAAAATATTTTAGTGAATAAGAGATTTGTAGTGATGTACTGTGTGGTGTGAATTCCATTTGTACATATCTAATTGCTGAAGTAGAAATGTCCAAATGAGTTTATTATATGGACTAATTCTACAAACAACATCATAATTAAGTACCAGGCAAGCCTTAGGCAGACCTGTTTGTCAAACACATAGTAATTACAAAAACAAGAAGTAAGTACATGACATTTCATATTGTTGATGATTACGGATGGTTAAAGTTGCTAAAAATTCTCTTTCACTCTATCTCTTTTACTTCACAATTCCCTACTGAATATAAATGTAAGGTTTAACCTGTTTTCTAAAGAAGTGCTATAGGACTGGTGCTGTAGGACTTTTTTCCTAGCACCCAGATGCTGTACAAAGGGAGGAAGTTTAGAGGGAGTATTTTGGGAATAGCAGCTGTAGCAGATAGATGGCAGCAGGAGGATTGAGCACAAGTTGTTGAACAGAGGTTTGCAGCTGCAAGAGATCTCTCAGCAGACACCACTACGAACTATGAAGTATGGTGGTCTTTCAGAGTTGTCTTGAATTTAAGCAAGGAATCAAGCCTTTGTGGTTACTTATCTATCAGTCATTAGAGGTGGGCTACTTGCAAGGGTAGGAACTCAGTTGTGAGCCATTAACAGTCATCCCACCCAAGCTATAGGAATGAATACATGAGGCCAAGAGATAGCTACAGGTCCAATAAGCAGCCTAAAATAAGTAAAATCTAATTTTAAAATTGTAACAGACATATAAAAGGAACATTACAGGTGGATGAGAAATACAAGGAGACTTTTACATTTTGAAATATTTTTTCATGCTTTTACCCATTAAATCATGAAAATAATTCACTTTCCTAAGCATGTAGTGAAATATTACAGAAATACCACACCTATTATCTCAAATAATATAGTATCAGAATTATATTTGTTGAATAATGTATGTTGTACTTTTCCATTATAAGATTTGTTTAAAGACAAAGTGAAAGAGTATTTAGAAGGAACTTTCTTACTTCATTGTGTTGTATATTTCCAGTTCTTTTTCTGAAAGATCCTTTTTCGAATTTCCCAAATGAAATGGATTTGGAAGAGACTTCTTTTTAGTGCCCTGAAAAACAGTTAAGGAACTCAGTTTATATCTAAGAATGGAATCAAAGAGCAGAAATGATTTAAAAATTAAAAGTGCTCTAAGAAAATTACTTACTATTTTTAATGTTTCCACTGAATGTTTTTGATGCTAACTTGCATCTCTTGGCTTATCCTTCATTAACAAGGATCCTGGAGTCACGTCACAGGACATGATAGCATTCCTGAAAACTTCCTATCACAGCCATTGTGGAGCCATTACCAAATTGTATGTTTACATACTTGTCTCTCTCCCTAAACTGTGTACTCCTTAGAATCTTACTTCTTTTTGGATTTCCTTTGTGTAACATAACCCTTAGCACTAAGTAAATATTCAGTCGACATTTGTTGAATCGTCAAATTGTAAAACTTAATTCAGTTTCACTTAAGAGCTATTTATAGCTTCGTTATTCATAAATTTATCCAAGTCCTCTTAAAACTGTACTTTTTACCAAATACATTTACTGAGATAATGGGTACATTTATGATGTGAGTACTTTGTAAATATACTGCATTTAGTGCTCCAACTCTTATTTTGTTGTTTAGAATTAGGAGACTAAACCTATAGTTTATGCTGTACCACTAAGAATCTCTTGTTTTATTGGTGCCCCTTCTCAGACTCTACCTTATTCATTTCTGGGATCACTTTCCTGTACCTACACAGGCAAGTTTCAAAACTGTTTTGAAAACAGAAGCATCATTAGTTTAAATTCTTATCTCAGGATGCTTACTTTGATAATCACTTGAATATTTTATGGCAATAATCAAGAAAACAATAAATGATCTGAAAAATGTACATATTTACTTTATAGCCTCATTTTGAATCAGTCTTTTAGTTTGGAGACCAGAACACTTCACAAGTGCAGCTAGAAAAAGTACTTATTTATGAAAAGTAAGTGTATACACACACACACACACACACACACACACACACACACACACACACACACATTTTAAAATTCTGATTCTCTTGTTTCACTGAATATTTTACTGGCTATTTAGCCAGATAAACACCCCAAATATGTTACAACTAGGATGTTTTCTGTAATCTTTGTGAATAGAGAATAATGAAATGAATACGAACAACATCATGAAAGAGTTCTCTACCTATATGTCCTGTTAAATAGATTCTGGATGTCAAGAGGCTCCTATGTTAATACTTGACATTTCTTTCTCTTTTGGGTTCTAAATCTTTGGTCTGCAAATAATGACTAAAACCATCCATCACTATTTCAAACAAGGAATGATCTACCATTAAAAAACTCTCTTATAGTTATAAAATAAAGCCTAGAGAGACAAGCTTAGCTTCCAGAAGGTACACACTTGAATGAAACACACCTTAAGCAAGGCCCCACTTTCTTCTGAATCGTCATAGCCCTGAGATTCTCTTTGCTTCCTTACTACATCAGGTGTGGGGTGAGGGCTAAGGCCAATACCTTCTCTGGCTTCACAACCATTGTCAGATCCTCCGCTGCTTCGGGAGGGACTAGGCTTCCGTGTCTTTAAGGAATAATCACCAAAAAGGGTTCTTCTGCATGTTGGAGAGGTTGCAGCTTTGGAAGTACTTTGTAGCCTACTAAGGATAGGTGAAGTGGCTAAACCATCCGTTTTATCTTGTGACCCAGCAAGGAACCAGTCAGCACAAGATACATATGGGCCTGGAGAAGATGCTAGCCGTTCATCTATGCGGGAATCTGTTCCTTCTAGCTGAAGAAGAGTAGTTCTGACTTGATCCACATATATACAGTCTGGACCAGGGTTTCCAATAGCTCTGGATGCACAGCCTCCAGCTTCTAATAGTACACATAACATATAATGTCTCTAGAAAAGAAAATGTTCACATAGGTATATCTACCATAAAAGTGTGTACATATAACATACATGTATAAATTTATAAATACAAAGGACATTTAGGAATTTGTCATCATCCTTATTAATGCTTCTTGATTCCAGTTGAAAACAATCTCACAGTTTTATTTTGGTAAACCATCAACCCCTTGTCTTGGTACATCAGATTCCCTAAATTATCATTCAAAGAGCCTTAATTATTAGAAGTCTTTTCATTTGCAATTACATGTTTATTCCATTTGGGGTTTTATGTTCTGTTGATTTACCTAAACAAGCCAAAGGATAATACTGTATGAAGGGGATCAAATGATCTTCAGAACTTGATTTTTTTTTATTTTATAAATATTTCTTCATTGAGCATTAAATGGATATGAAAGTAAAAGAATGAAAGGATATATAATAGTTTTTTGAACACTAGTACTCAGCATACTCACAGTTTTAAATGAGCATTTTATAAATTTAGACAATAAATACATGGCCAAAAATAAAATCAACAAAACCCAGGTAAACTTACCAATCCAACAATTAGCAAAAAATATCTTCCTTCAGGTTCCTGAAAGACTTCAATGTTTGAGGCTGAGGAAGGTTTGAGGTGGTGATGAGGAAACACTTCTCTCCATATTATCAACTGACCAATTCTTTGTTTTGCTGCTAAAGGCAGCAGCCCATGGTAGCGACAGTAAAGGGCAATCTCAATAAGGTCCTCCTTAGGCAAATGACTGCATATCAAGTAGCCCTTGAATTTAACCACAAAGAATAAAAGTCAACTTTAGTTGGCTTAAAGTACTCTGGTTTCAAGTACAATAAATGAAGATCTAGCAAAAGTAAATTTCTTTTTTCTGTCCTCAAACTAGAGATCAAGTGATAAGGAACCCATCAGATAGGCTTTAACATAAAGTAAGATTACCTCTGGATAGTGTTAGCCTTACTGTTTGGCAGAACTAGAAAAAAAAGTGAATTATTAAAATGGAAAGTGCAGAAGCAAGAGTCCAGATGAACATACTGACTTGTCACTGTATACCCTTCTGCATCTTCTTGTTCCTTGTTATATATGTTATAAATCATATTTAAAGAGCTTTAAAAATGAAAATGCTTAAACTCATTTGATGCTTAATTTGATTTACATGGAAGTCAACTATGTAATGTTCTAAGATTTAGTTAAAAGATACATGGTTCTTTCTGAAGATAGGATAAAAAAAATCACTATTACTAAAGGACACTAAAAGTATTGTTCCTCAGGGGCTGGGGATTTAGCTCAGTGGCATAAGCACCTGCCTGGCAAGCAGGCAGTCATGAGTTCGATCCTCAGTACCGATAAAAATGAAAAAGACAAAAAAAAAAAAATATTGTTCCTCTCACATAGTTGGTTCTTTTGAATATTGTTTCTCATTTATGCATTTGAAAATGCTTTCTAATGCAATGAAACTGTAAGTATGTATTACATTTATAAACATATAAGTAGAAATCTTATTTTTAAGACATTAATCTTATGGTACTTACATTCAGAGGTAAAGAGATAAAGGTATACTTCATGTATATAAAAGTTTGAAAAACTTTATTTTAGGTCTATGGCCATGTAAGTTATATGTATGTTTATAAAAATTTCCAAACTTCAACTTACCCTGTAAAATAGAGAAGACCCCAAAATTGTATATAGCCGTCTCATGTCATAGTAATCTTCAGACTAGGTAGAAAAAAAAATCAGTGGATTTATATCATGGTTGAGTATATGTGTGATAAACTGTAACAGTTAAAATGGAAATTATGTTCTTTAGAACCAATTTCTCATAGTGCTTTTTTTAGAAGTCAATATATACTACAGTATTAGGGTGAATATAATATGAATGTATAGTTGACATTTTTGATAAAGTTGATTTTTGGTTCTTATAAAACAGAGACATCTAAGAATAGAACATAAAAATTTGTTATTCTGTGAGAGATTTCTTAAAACAAATTTGTTAAGCTATTATTTATCATTTAAAATATTAAATATTAAAAAGGAAGGAATTGTAGGGCATGGGGGCACATACCTGTAATCCCAGCACTTGGGAGGCTGAGACAGGAGAATTGCTACAAACTCAAGCCAGCATGGACTACATAGTGAGTTTAAGGCTTGCCCAAGCAACATAGTGAGACTATATTTCAAAACACCAAAAAATAAATGAATAAAATATAAAGAGGAAGGAAGAAAGGAAGGAGAAAGAAGGGAAGGAATGAGAGGGAGGGCAGGCTGAGATACAGCTTGGTGGAAAGCACTAGGTTGATTCTCCAGGGATACAAAAAAAATGGAGGGGGGGTGGATATAGCTCAGTGAGGCAGCTCTTGCCTAGCATGCTTAAGGGCCTGGGTTTAATCCTCAAATTGCAAGCAAACCAAAACAAAAGCCATTCTGATAATTCTAAATTAAATTCAGATCTAGCACGTTCTCACTTAAATAGCAGATCTTCATTTAAGTGGCAGATTCTTCATCACTATTATATTTCAAAAAGCATTCATAAACATACCAATATAGTTAATTATTTTTTATTTTTTTGGTCTTTTTTGTTTTTATCGGTACCAGGGATCAAACTCACGACTGCCTGCTTGCAAGGCAGGCGCTTATGCCGCTGAGCTAAATCCCCAGCCCCCTAATTATTTTTTATTCTTCTACATTGTATAACAAATATTTTCAACTGAGTGGAAAAATCTTAAGGCAAACAAAATAAGACTTTTTCAGTATCAAAACAGAAGCTTAATGTTGTATATTTCAAGATTAAGTCTGTTTGGGACTTAGAATAATGACTGGTTTATAAAATAAGAAGTCAACTTTGAGCCTTTCCTAAAATTCCCTCCTCCTCTTACCAGTTCTGCAAAATCTGCAGCCTCCAAGTCACTTAACGCTGTGTCTAATTCCATCTGTGAAAAAATAAGCACAAATATTTGACTCATTATTATTAATATTTTTCAGTAATGCTTATATAAAAAGTGCTTAATAACTCCCGAAAGAATTAAGTATCTTTGGCATCACATTAAAAATGTCTCAGAATGGAACATTTTATTTTTAGACTTTCAAGTATAAAAACATTTATTTAACATATAGGCATTTTTCAACTAAATCTTAATTATTTCAAAATGGTCTTTACCATCTGTGTTCAATGCAAAACAATTTATGAGGTTAAAAAACATCTTTCTGGTTCAAGTTAGAAATATTTTAGCCCATTACATTTCTTAAAAGAAAATCAGTATTAATGTAGCCAACCTACTTCGAGTTATGTTTGTTTCTCCATTTCCTGTATATTCTCATCAGTTGGATTCTTGAAAAATACCACCATTCTTTTTTGTCTCTCTCTCTCTCTCTCGAACACAGTATTTTGAATAAAAGGGTTGTCAGTCTTTATTCACAGATTAAAACATGAAGGCAACTGTACCCCTGAAATCTGGCACACTTTAACTATCCCACAGAGTTATTAGAAAAAGTCCTTTATATAGAAATTGCCCTTTGTTTCTATAGAAATTGTTTGAACTTTTTCTTCAGGTGTTCACAGCTCAAAAAATTGTGAACTTAATCTGTCATGCATGTATGCATACATATATATATATATATATATATATATATATATTGAAAATTGTAAGTAATTGAAATTTGTAGCATACATACTATGTGTAAATAATAATCCTTTCTTTTTTTCTCTCTCTCTCTTCTTCCCAAGGTCAAAACATTCTGTGTAGCACTAAGCTCCACACACTATGTCCAACTGATAACAAAAGCTTTTGAAACATTAGTCATGCCTTTCAGTGCTTTTCACACAGTATGACTTACAACTCATTTGAAACCTACATTTATCTGCATCTAGCAAATATTTCACATTCCCTTTTTTTGTGGCTAACGCTTATCTTGTGAAAATGATAGGACAAACAGACTTGTGATTTTTGAACTCTAAAATGTTTAATGAGTTGCTATTTCTGCTATTCAACAGGCTAACGTATAAGATTAATAGAAATGTTTATTCATATTAAGAGAAAAAATATTTTTCCTCTTAACTCTTCCAGTGTACCCCAGAAAATATTAGAAAAAATATCTGCTAAATGAGGAAATTTGCAAACACCTGCAAAGAATCTGAAGTGAGATATCACATATTAGACTCAGAACAAATAAAGACATTTTCAAATTAAAGATAACTAATTCCACTTAAAATCTGCCAGGCCCAAGTTACCTTAAACAACATGTTTTTAAATAGAGTCTTGGCATTAAATTCCTTAATGTTTTTCATTTGAAGATAGTCAATGAAGCTTGCTTTAAGACAATGAGAAATCTCAAAGAGAAAAAAAGTATGTAAGTCTTTGAGCTTGTTGGTAAAATACAAGCTTTGGGAACTTTTTGTTTCTGATTTAACATGTAAAGAGCCTGAAATTGCCACTCTGTCCTAACAGGTAAAAAGCTGAACAGAATAAAAATCAGTAGCTCTTGGATCTGTAAAAGGGGTTAGATATAGTAAACACTGTCCCAAGATAACAGAGCCAGGCATTCAGGGATTTATGACTGAGTAGAACAGTGTTATATGCAGAAACTGGTAAGAAAAGCAGTGGCAGAACAGGAAAACCCAGATTGCAACTGACAAACCGGAAGCTCCGTTTAAAGAATTAAAACCCCCTGGGAGGCTGAACTTGACCAAGTTGTCCCAGTAAATAAAGGAGAAAAATCCTCTCATACTTCTGGCAGGGGAAGAGAGAAAGCAACCTTCCTGAACTACTCTTAGCACTCTGTTCTTAACAAAGCCTGCACTCAGGACAAACTAGTTAATGATAGCCTAACTTAGTATAGTATATTTACAGTATAGCTGACCTAGAGGATGACAGTTTAACTGCAGTGAGCAATAGGCTTTCACACCAGAAAAGAAAAACACCCTAACCTTCCACAAGGGAGAAGGAAAATACCCAACTCAAGCTCACTCTAGGCATCCTGTTGCACCAAAGGAGAGAGAATTAAAAATTTATGTCCACATAAAGAACTACATAAGGATGCTTATACTTGAATCAAGATGTCCTCCAGTAAGTGAATGAATAAATAAACTAGCATATCTAAACAAAGGAATATTATTTAAGATTAAATAGAAGTGACCTATCAAGCTGTAAAAAGATACGGAGGAACTTACATCTAAGTGAAAAAAGCCTATCTGAAAATATTACATATAAGAGTTCAACTGCATGACATTTTGTGAGAGGAAAACACTTTAAAGACAGTCAAAAAGTCAGCTGTTTCCAGGGTTTATAGAAAAGGAGAGATGAAAAGGAGAGAAAAATAGAGTGCAGAGGATTTTTGATTGGAAAATGAAACTACTTTTGACTCTATGTTGGTGGACAAATGTGTCCAAATCCATGGAATATACACCACCCTAATATAAACTATGCACTTGGGGATGATTTTGAAGTGTCAATATAGTTTGATAAACTGTAACAACTTCTACCACTCTGGGGTGTGATCCATGAGGGTTGGGGATACAGAAATTCTCTGTCTCAACTATGCTGCAAACTTACACGGCTCAGATAAGAAACTGAGAAAGGAAATTGATATATATCAATTTCAGTGATTATTAAGTGTCAAGATGGCATTTATTTAGTCATATAATGTAGAGTGTCTTGAAGAGTAGAATTTTCTTTTTGAGACAGAGTCTCACTGTGTAGTTCAGGCTGGTCCTGAACTCACTATGTACCTCAGGCTGGCTGTGAACTCACAGCAATCCTCCTTCCTCAGCCTCCCCAGTGCTGAGATTACAGGGGTGTACTACCACACCTGGCCTGAACAGTAAAATCTTTTTTTTTTTTTGTCGTTTTCATTTTTACCGGTACCGGGGATCGAACTCATGACCGCCTGCTTGCAAGGCAGGTGCTTATGCCGCTGAGCTAAATCCCCAGCCCCTTGAACAGTAAAATCTTGAATTAGATTTTTTTCTATAACATAGCCTTCTTAGATAAGAGAAGTGGCTATGGGGTAGTGCTTCATTTAATAGTAATATAAATGCAGAAACTAAACATTACATGATGATCTACTGTGATGTAAATTTCTCATATCTTGTCAATTAAGGGGTATAAACATGAGTAGAGTTATACTGACAATAGTTAACCTTTATCATGATGAAGTCTTATACTTAGCGATATATGGGACAATCCAAAAGCTAATCCCAAATGTTTGTGTAAGTAAAGACTTTGCTGGGCTAGGGAGGTAGCTCAGTGATGGCAGAGCATACATTAAGCATTGTGAAAAGCCCAAGGGTCAATCCAGAACACCAAAAAATGAAACAAAGCAAAAACTGATTTTTCATTTTAATTAAGAATTCTATTAGTCATTGTGTCCATTTTTGATCTTTATACAAACATATCCTGCCCTTGCATTACAAAACCAGGCACAAAACTCCAGAGTAAGACATAGAACTTATCGGAGGGGCTCAGGCAGCTGATTCACCCTCCCTCTTGGTAAGTGCCACGGCAAGGGCCAGGAGGAGAACAGAGCTCCCAAGATCTGGCCATGGAGGGACTCAGGCAGCTTATTCACCCGCCCTCTCGGTAAGCACCTGCAATGTGGGCCTGGAGGAGAACCATTACCCGTGAGCCTACTGTCACGCAGGCTGAAAATCAAGCACCCTTCCCCCGCCTACCCTCTTCCCCCATAGCTACTGGGGATAGATGTCTCAGCATCTCTTGGGAGGATGACTATATACAGTATAGCAAATACGGGAGATTTTCTTCTATTTTCTATTCGAAGGCATAGGTTATTTTCATTGTTTTGTTATGTTTCTTTTGCTCTATTTAGTATTCTCAATTGGTTTTACAATGTTCTATTTTTGGTTTGATTTTACTATACCTAATTGACTGGACAACTATTGTGAAGTTAAAGAGATATACCATAGTACATATTACTACTATCCCAGTATCCTACTGTGAAATCCTGTACCAATTTCACTGCATTGTCTCGATTGGCTTTGTTCTGTCTTGTGCTATTGCATTTTTACTACTTTCAAAATAAAAAAAATAAAATAAAAAAACCCACATTACTCATACCGCTCTGTTTAGATACATTTTATTTTGTCCCAGTTTGTCTACTTGCACTAGATCTGAGAGCACGGACAACTATCCCAAAAATAACAGGATATAGTACGGTAATCATCTTTAATTTCGTATTAACTTAATCTGGAGCCCTGTATAACTTTTACTGTTTTATCATGACCGATCTTATTTAAATTTGGTTTGACTGTTGTTTGGTATTGACAGATTCTATTCAAAACTCTTATGATTGATAGTACAAAGTCTGAGACTATAGGCAGCTACACTGAAGATGACAAGATTCACTACAATACCCATTCTGGTTTGATTATTACCTGTTTTTGAAGTTTTACACTATCTACAAAGTTTTGTTTTTATTAATATTGTTATGTACTGCTAAATTCAATTATACTATGTCTGATGATATAGCCAATTCTATTGAAGATAACAAGAGACAACACAGTAACAATGGTAGAACCCCTTGTACAGTGGTCTTATGTCTTTTTCGTTTTATGTGTTTATAGGAATATGTTTTGTTTTGTCTTGCTTTGTTTTGTTTCTCCCTCTAATATAGAAAGAATAGAAATACATGTTAAGAAATACATGTTAAGGTGTATAATCTATAAACAGTTTATGAGCACTGATCTTATAACGCATGATGAAATGAACAAATACTTTGAAGAAAAAGAGACACTATAGTACCCAGTGCTGATTCCATCGTGTCATGATGTGAAATCCAGCAATACTATTATTCTTTATTCAGAGTGATTTTAGCCTGCTTTGGTTTGTTTAATCTCAACATACATGAAGATATGGATAAATACATTTATGTTTAAGTGTTAGGATTGATAACCATATTACTAAGTTTTTGTTGGATAGTTGAACAGAACCATTTGCAGTCTCGCTGTTTGAATCCCCACTTTGTATGTTTCACTTTGTATCTTGAATAATTATTTGTAAGAGGATAGTATGTAAACATCAACTAGTAATTTCTTACTGTTTATTTTTTCTTTGAAAGTATGTACTGTTTCTACCTGTTTTCTGTTCTGTTTAGTCTTTCTTTAAATAAAATTTTTTTAAAAAGACATATAACTTGTGATTTCTGAAAAGAATTCTGTCTTGGTTACTTTTATTTCCTTGCTGAGACAAAGTACCCAATACCCAAAGTTAAAGAAGGAAAGGTTTGGTTAGCTCACAGTTTGTAGAGGTTTCAGTTCATAACTGGCTGGCTCCAAGGCAGGGTGGCATGGCAGACAGGTATTGCAGAGGGGAAACAGTTCATAGTGGGAAGAAGATAGCAAGGCAGAAAAGGCATAATGACAGATTTGGTATCCCTTAAGTCTTATCTAGGTTACTTATGGCAGTTGCACTCACAGCCTTAATCTTAGCATTGTACCAAGAATCAATTCCAGTGCTACACACTCTAGATCCAGCCACCTCTGAAAAAGCCCCATCTATGACTGCGTAAGGCTTTGGCTTTGGGGACACATCTAAACAGAAGCCATAACAAATTCTAAGCTTAGACAAAGCTTAAAGTAATACGAGAGAGCTCATATTTATTTATGAAGAATCATTTGCCTAAGTTTACTGGAGCTACTTCATCAACCAATTGCCTCTTTAATTCTGACCTATAAACAAAAAGCCTAAGTGACAAAGAAAATAAACAATTACAGTGACAGGTTCAGATTTTTATTTAGGAGATCTCAGATTACCTTGATTTCCTGTGGAAGTGTGAGCCACCGAACTCCAGGGAGATTGTCTAAAAGTACTGCGCTGGCAGCATCATATTGTTGAACACTGGGACTGGCACTGGAATGTAGGTTAGCAGGGTGAAGTGCTCTTTGAAAGAACAAGTTGAAAAAGTGATCCAAGCGGGGAACATTTTCAACCTGGCAAAAGGCACTAAAGAAATGAGAGCTGTAAGTTAGAATAACATATGGAAACAGTGGTCACTTTTTTTGGATGCCCCTGAGGGAACTGGCTCTTTCCCAGCTCATCCTCCCTCCATTTAGTAAGAATCACTGCTATAATGTTATTAATGGAGTGCTTAAGAAATTTATCCTGTATTTTTTCCCCTAAAATATACTCACAAATGTACTGAGTAGATGATGATACAGTGATGGCAAACCTTTTACAGCTTTCAAGGATAACAAATAGCTGATTGTGGCATGTGTGCTATAGGTCTGCCACTATTACTACAAAAGAACAACAGGGCCAAAACAAGTGGCATATGTACAAAAGAAAGGACTGAAGAGCTTATTTTATTTTTGTAAGAAATGAAGTTGCTTTTACCTCTGATTATCTTTTAACCATTATAATTTCAAATATCTTTCAGGCAATATAGACTAATAAAGGGATTCTGGGCTTTGTAATAGAACTGGCTTTGAATTTTATCACTGCTCTTACTAGGTACTTATCAGAAGAAACCACGTAACTTCTTTCTGAACTTTGGTTTCCAACTCAGTAAAAATGTGGTTAAATACAATCTAACTCACATGCAAACTACCTAGTACATAATAAATACAAGTTTAATTATGCTTATTTCTTACTAGTACACAGGGAATATAAAACAAAGAACAAAAGTTATTCTTTCTTCACTGTTGAAGGTATAATTATTTAAAGAGAAAGACAAAGTGAGAGAGAAGGAAGGAGAGGAAAGATAAAAGGAGGAGCAGAAAAAAGACAAGGGGAGAAGACTTTAAATAGTTGATTTAAGCCATGCCAAAGTAATTTCATCATTAACTCATCCAACAGATTCGTTCCAGGCACTGTTCTCATTGCTAGAGATACAGCAATAAAAATGCCAAGACAGAGGACAATAAGCTCCAGTGGAGCTCACATTGTAATAGAGAAAGACAACAAATGAACAAGCAGTAAAAGCATGAGTTCAAACAAAGGTGTTCACAAAAAACAGGATGATGTGAATGGGTGGTATCACTGCTTCATTATTTTATTTTTAACACAGGATTTTGCTACATTCTCCAGGCTGGTCTCCAACTCGCTTGGCTCCGCTGATCTTCCCAGTTTTCCTCCCAGATAGCTGGGACCACAGACATGTGCCACTATGCCTAGCTGATTGGCTATTTTAGATTAAATAATTAATGAAGAAAGAGTTTCTGAGAATGGAGCATTTAAACTAATATTCAAATGCCAAGACGATGCAGCAATAGGAAAGAGTGTAAAAGCCCTGGGGTGGGGAGAAGCTTTGCCATGTGTGCCTGCCTCACAGGGCAGAAGGCCTGTGTGGTTTGAGATCTGAAGGCAAACAGGCAGGAACCAGATAATAATGTAGAAAGATAATTCCAATTGCTGTAAGGAAATTAAAGTGACAAGAATGGAAACCAGTAAGGAAACCAGTTAGGAGGCTACTCCAGTAGTACAATACAGTAGTGACTGAGCAGGGCGATAGTGAAGAAAGAAAGCAGTGTATGGACTGGAGGCATGCTTTGACAGACAGTGGTCAAGACTTGCTGATGGACTGGCTGAGGACGGTGAAGGCAAATGCTGTATCTTTAATTTGTGCACAACTCTAAACTGTTAATATATAGTTAGTTTTCTACTAAATTGCAACTTAAGATAATTGTTAACTTATAAAAATCTTTTTGTAATTTTTCACAGTGGGATTTAATATTTTCTAATATCAGAAATAATGTAGTTAAAATTATTGGACAATATCTATTGTTAACATCTTGAATCCACATTGCTTGTTGTTTTTAAGAACTTATTGCATCTTTAGATTTATTATCTTCAGTTTGTCTTTCAAATTCTCATTTGAAAAAGCAGAAACTAATTAGATTTGCTGCCACCTTGGAGATATTTCCAAATCAATGAAGGCTAAATTTCAAGATGAAATTCAGAGCATTTAAATCCCTCTGCCTCCAACCCATTGGAATTTGTACAGTAGCAATTCGTTGTTCTTGTGTATGAAATTTATTGCAGAAATTTAATCTTTGATATTCTCTCATTTTATGGAAGTGGAAAGCTTCAACTAAATTAGAATATAGTGAAGTTCGCTTCTCTAGTGTCAGTTTTGTTGTTGTTGTTTTTGTTTTTTGAGAAGCAGTCTCACTGTGGATCCATGCTGACCTTGAACACATAATTCTTCTGCCTCAATTTCAGGAATGCTAACTGCATTGTAAATTTAGGGAAGAAGTTATAACCACACCTTTACTCTTTCACTGCTTAGAACATTCTTAATTAGTAAAAGCATTACTTACCGATGCCTAGACTTTTTAGCTTACTCATTTGAAAAATAACTGTCACATAGTTAGCTCATAGGCAGTCCCTCCAAACTAGATAATTTAACCAAAAGCGTTGGTCACAGAAAATTTCTCCATAATGCTTTGAGAAAAATAACAATAAAAATTCACTATAGATAAACAGATAATAGTACCATGGTTTTGGAAAAAGTATGTAAAGTATTCTTGGATTTTTATGCTGATAACCACTTAAGACTATAGGCAAAATACTATTGTAGCCCTTAGAAGTACTAGCTCTTATAAAAATCCCATAAAGAGAAAAATTTATTTTCCATCTCTAATGATGTACTCAAATTTTGAATCATTACCTCAAAATTGCGCCTTCAAATCAAGAAATGTGTCACATTACCAGGATAAAAAAGCCAAAGTGAAGACATATGCATATACATGCTCACTATATTAAAAAAAAAAGGCTTGTATATTTATTTGTACAGAAAATACATGGAAGAATATATATGAAACTAGTAAATTTTCTAACACATAACTTATTTTTTACAACAATGGTACATTTTCTTTACTGAAAAATTTTTTTTGAGAAAGCATATTTTGAAATAGTGAATTTGACAATGATAAAATAGGAAAGAAAACAAAAATTTATTTCAAGTCTTATTTTTTTCTGTATCTGTTATGAAGAAATACTCTGACATTTGACCCTATATACCAAGTCAGTATATAAGGATCACTATGTAACAGTATACAACACTATTTCACTAAAAATTTCACTGAATATGAGACCAAAATAAGGAATATAAAAAACGGATCAAGAGGAAAAGCTACTTAGCATTATGAAATAAAAACCAGCAATGAAATATGACAATTATAAGGATAAGGAGGAAGAAGAGAAACCAGATGACCAACTTCTAAGGCAAGAAACAACATTTAGAACAAAAGATGACCTAGACTTATACTTACAGCATGAGATTCAGTTCAAAGAAGCACTTACCTATCTAAAGAACCATACATAAATTTTAAGGTTTGAGCAGTATCTTGTATCATATTCCTTAGTTGAGGAAGAGGAACTCTAAAAAAAAAATGAAACCAAAAATTTTTACATGCGTATATAAGGTATACGTCAACTATGAATGAAACTAAAAAACGGTTGTTGCTTTACTATGTAGTAACTCGTCACCTCGGAGTCTAGATTAGGCTTCTAGCATTCATCACATATAGACTTTCAATATCACCATTTATATGTTAATAAACTCTCAAGTTCAGCTTCATCCTTAAAATTGGTCCACTGATCACTAAGCCCTCCTCAGTTTGGTTCTGAGGATTAAATGAAATAATTATCACTTGCCAGTGGCCAAGAGAGACCTGGTGAGCCCAGCATAGGCCAAAGAAAAAGCCATATCCTGTAGCCCCATTGCCATTGGGAAAATTGGTGAACCAATGCCCCGTGCCTCTCCATCCTGCAGCAAACCTGGATCAGAGGAACCCAGGTGCATAGTCTATCCATTACACCAAGGGACTGGCAGCCAATGCAGGAAACACCTGAGATGCAGCAACAGATCGATTCAGAAAAACACAGGAAAATGTCTAGACAAAGGAGCAAAATACAATGTCAGACCTCTAGCCCACATAGAACAAGTTCAGGAGATACAGACATAGTAGAAATTAGAGATGACACACCTGAAGTTTCTGAAAAGACAACTGAAGTAAAAAAGCAATTTAGTTCTTACACTATTTGGTTAATTTTACATGCCTATGTCTGATGGTCTGGACAGCTATTTTGAAGATAACGAGGTATTATGGTAGCTATTATTAATTTCTTATTTTCTTGCTTTAAAGTCATATATTTTTCATTGTTTTGATTGGGTTTATTCTGTTTCATTTTGTTTGGTTTTATTCTCTTTAAAATAAAAAAGAATTAATTTGAGGATTCAATGAAATAATTCACTAATTAATATAGTTAGAGCAGTATCTGAGACCATGTCCATGCTCAGTTCTCCCCCTACCCCCATGCTATATTCTTGACCCTTTTGTTGTTACAGAAATCTCCAACTCCTTTGGCAAAACATACTGTAAAGGGAAAGAAAGTAGAACAGAAAAAAAGAAACAGATTTACATTTTCATAATGAAGGCTCACATGAATTCTACAAGACAAGTTCATAATTTCCATCATATTAGTGACTAAACTAAAGTCCAAGAAGTGAAGCAGCTTTATGTAGGGTCACAAAGGGAGTGGAGGCTGTTAGGCAGCTTGCATCATCTTCACTCCAAAGTGTTTCTGCTAGTTCACACTATCTTCTAGATTAGGTTTCTGCTTTTTGTTTGCTGCAGCTATCACAGGAGCATATTTACCACCTGAAAACATGTCCCTGGGTCATGTACCCCACACTAATTTCTGCAGAATGGTATTTTTCTTATTCTGCTTCCTTCCTCACCATTATGGGGTGAGAAAGGAAGTGCACTGGCTGTGGCATTAAGATATTTGAGGGAAAAATTTCAGGGCAGCCAGTTCAAATACAGATCACAAGCACAATGACGAGGATGCAAAGATATATAAATTGACACTGGTGAGGTTCTTGTGCACGATCTCTCAGTTTGCTTTCTCAGTCTCAACAAATGACAAGAATAATAATACATAAAACAAGATGGGTAAAGAAAAGATGTGGGACAGAGTGACTGACATGGATAAAGAGAGGGGTAAAGAGGGCTTTTACTTTGAAGATCAGTTTAGAGAATAGATCTTCAGCTTAATTCTAATGCATCAAGCCTAGTTTTCTAGGACAGGAATGGCATAAATACTTAGGGAAGATTACCTAAAGATTGAAAACTTGCCTAGGGTACCCCTCTTTTACAGCTCAGTAGTGAAAGTCCCTTTTTTAACTGTAGCATCAAACTTTTGGAAACTACCTCTGTCTGTCTAAATTGGCTTGTGTCATCAGAGTATGGTGAACAGCCTTGCCCAGTTCTTTTGTTGGGCTTTCCTTTCTCCTCCCTAGTTGTCTTAACATTGTATTTTGTTTCTTCTCATTTGTCTTCTGGGCTATACAAAAGTCTTAAAAGACAAATGTTTTACTCTACCATGCCATCCTAAATGATCTTATTCTGAATGTTCTCCAATTCTTGTAAACCCCTATTTTCAGAAGAATCCCTTAGTTTTTCATAATCTAAATCACCAGTATAGGTCAGTTTCTTAGCACTGTTCACAATAATCCCTTTTGAGACAGCAAAACATATATTGACTGGTTAAAGATCACCATCTGTCCAAACATACTTTCATGTTAAAAAATCTGAACCCCACATATATATTGTATCATTCTGTCCAAAATTAAAGTCACCTTCAAAACATAACCATTTTATATTTTTCATTATAGCCACTTTTGGAGTTCTTGTTTGTGATGGTAAAACAAACCCTAAAATTCTTTGATGTTCCTTTCCTCAGTAAGTGGTGCTTAATTCCTCCCCTTGAGTGTAGTCTGGACTCAGAAATTCACTTCTAACAAACAACAGAATGATAGAATGGTAGAATGATAATCTGTTAATTCTCAGGTTAAGCCAGGAAGTGCTGCAGCTTCCCCGCTTTCTCTCTTTAGGATCACTCAGTTTGGGGATGCCAACTGGTATATTTTGAAGACACTCATCAACTCCATGGAGAAGTCAGTGTGGCAAGGAATTGAGATCTCCTGACAGTCACCATGTCTGTAAGTCACCTTGAAAGCAGACTCTAGCTCTAGGTAAACCTTCTGATGACTGTATGCCTGGATAACATTCAGCTACAAGATTAAGAAAGACCCTGAGTAAGCCACAGCTACCTACCTAAGTTGCTACTGGATTTCTGTACTACCACAACACTTGTAAGATGGTTTACATTTACCTCTCAAATTTTGTAGTTTTTTTTCCCCCAGTATTGGAGATCAAACCCAGGGCCTGATCCTGCTAAGCAAGTAGTCTATAGTGTTACATCTCTACTCCAAACTTACCTGCAAATTTGGAGGGGGCAGATAATTTGTTATATAGCAATAGATAATAATAGATAACTAACACAGTATAATGTAACCAGAGAAAGCCAGTTAACAAAATTTTTAGTAATAGAAAATAGTGACACTTTGTTTAGATGGGCAGAATGATGTATTTTCCAGCTCATCTTTTTTTTTTTTTTTTTTTTCTTGGATAGTTTAAACACTAAGAGAAACTTAAAGGGAAATTTTATCAGAACCGATATTCTCCCAAGTTGTGTCAGTCACACACTATAGTACTTATTTTAATATTTGGAGTAGACCATATGCCATGATTCTGTGGACCAAAAGAGGAAAATTAAAATGTATCTGATACTTTAATGATACAGTTGCCCAAATATTTTAAAAGTCGTCAAGAATTTAAACTACAAGTTGTAAGATTCATTGAACAGGGACATTTAACCATTCTAACAGTAATTAAATCCATTTCCTTAGAGGCTGTTTTCCATATTTGTACTCCATTTCTCCCCTAATTTTTAATGTCCAGTGACATGGAATCACTATAGTAAAAAGAATTCAGACTGACCTTCATTCAGTTTAAAATTCTACTTCCTGATTATGTGACCTCTGTCAGGTTATTTAGCCAACTGACCTGTTGAGTACCTAAGGTAGTCCCTAGACTCATTGACAGTTCGTTACCGATATCAATCTTGTTATTTCCAACATCTAAAGATAAATTTCAGAATTCTTGCAAAAACTCAAGGTGGCCATGTAAGGTGATCATTAGAGAAGTCACTTTAGAGTTGCATATCCATTATTTTGTCAAAAGTGCTTAGAGTAAAATATGCTTACCCAGACCCTTAATTCTTGAAAATTTCCAAAAGTGGAAAGAAAAAGTAAGTATGCAAAATCCAAATCATAACATCATAGAGACTTAAAAAAAGAGGAAAAGATCATCTCTCAGTCACTTCTGCGTTTTTGTATAGGTCACAAAGAGGCAAGTAGTAGCAATGCCAACCTCCAGCCTTACTGATTAGTCCAGGTGGGCCTTTATGGCACCCTTTGGGACTATGCATGCCAGGTGAATACAAGTGTAACCCCTTCACTAATGCAATACTCTTCTAAATCACAAAACTGTCTAAGAAGCGCCTTTGGACAAAAATGTCATAATTTTAATGAAATAGGCTTTGTTAATACTACTTTAGAAATGATTTTAAAGTTAAAAACAATTTCAACTTACTCATCAGCAGGCAGGCCAATTAGAAACAACTTCTCAGATTCTTTTAAATAAGCTACATGAATTTGTTTTCCATTTAAAAAGAGGGATGAGCTAAGAAGAAATAAATTTCAAATAAGGTTAGAGTATCTTTATCATAAAATTATAAAAATTGTCCATAAAAATTACATATGCTATGATTTAAGAATAGAGTATTTAATAAACAAATTTCTTGGCATACATATCTAACTGCCAACAGAAAAGGCAGAATTATGAGACAACAAAAATGCATTTTAAAGTATTTAAAAAGCAACAGAAACAATCCAATAAAACTATGCTAAACAAAATTATACTCATTATTAAAAAAGAATGTTGAACTCCTTTTGTTACAATTAAGAAGCTATACACATGTTTTTCCAAAGAAACTTCCTTTCCAGTTGGTTATTTAACACACCTTTTATGACTATCGTTGGCTAAAGGGATTACAAAGAAAAAGAATAATGGTTCCAGCTCAGAAAATGACAACTAATTAAATTATCAGTCATTTTAAAACATATTCTTAAGGAAACTTTTGGAGTAATGCATATATTGTGGTAATGGTTTCAGAATTATGTATCTATGTCAAAACTGCAACTTAAAATATTATACTAAATAAAAGAAGTCAGTCACAAATAACCACATAGCATAAAATTCCATACATACGAAATGACTAGAACAGAGAACTATAGGGATGGCTGGGGTAGGCAGTTTAAAAGGGTATAGGGTTTCTTTCTGAGGTGACAGAAATGGTCTAAAATTGACTTTGGTGATGAACACATCCCATGGGCAACTTTAAAATCATCTACTTGTACACTTTTAGGGTGAAGTAAATCATTTATGAATTATATTTCAATAAAGACTGACCATATAACTCCATAGCATTTGCTATACGTGAGGTCCTAGGTTTGATCCCAACACCACAAAAATCAACAGTAATAGGGGTTGGGGATTTAGCTCAGTGGCATAAGCGCCTGCCTTGCAAGCAGATGATCGTGAGTTCGATCCCCAGTACCGATAAAAAAAAAAAAGCTAACAAAAAAAAAATCAACAGTAATAATAAAAAGCCTGCAGGGTGCTTTTATTTATTCCTTTGTTTGTTTTTTGAGGCAGAGTCTCACTATGTAGCCCACTGTGGCTTCAAAGTCACAGTGATCTTTCTGCCTTAGCCTCTTGAGAAAGCTGGGACTGTAGGCATGGGCCACTAGGCCCAGTGTGATAATTTTATAAATGAAAATGTATACCCTAAAAGGAAACCCAGGTACCCCTGTTTGAAAAATGAACCAGTTTCTGTATACAGTAACCTATATAAAGTCACAGCTTAAATACATCTTTTATCTAGGAAAACAAGGAAATAATTCTTCTTCCTGATGTCTTACACATTTTATCTCTTTTTAAAATCCTGAAAGTCCTATAAAATTGAACTTGATATTTTATTAGTAATAGTGAGGTGCTTCAAATTTGAAATAAACTTTTATAAACTCCAAAATTATTGAAATATTAAGGAAGAAAATTTATAATACTTAATCTGTTTTACTTTTTTAAAAACCTAAACTTTGAGTTTTTGTCTCATAAATTAAACATGTCAGTGTTAGGGCTTGATACGTCAATGTGGAGTACATAACTCTGATGTACTCTCTTTTTTTTTTTTCTTTCTTTCTTTTTTGGGGGTGCAACAAAAGGAGGACCTTGCACATGGAGACAAGCACTCTACCAATGAGCTACATCTTTAGCTCTAATTTTCAAATTATTTGACAGCAGTTTTGTTTATTCATCACTATGTAATCTTCACAGATAACAAATGATGGTGAGTTCTGAACATTCCTTCTAAAGCGCACTCTGCATTTTTCTGTAATCACTCACTATAAGAACAGAGTAATTTTTTTAACTATTTGAGAAATTTAGTGTTCAGTTATTCTTGCCAATCACAAAGGTATTGTCTAACAAGTTAAATCAAGATAAAAATGTGAGTCAGGCACAGTGCATGCCTACAAGCACAGCATTGTGAGAGACTGAGGCATGAAAATTACAAGTTCAAATCTAACCCTGGCAATTTAGGCCCTGTTTCCAAAAACAGACAAGCAAACAAATGAACAAACAAGGACTAGGAATGTAGTTCAGTTCGAAATCCCTGTATTTAGTCCCCAGTACCATGAAAAAAAAAAAAAAGATAAAACCTATTGATACCTACCATAATAAATATCCACATTATAGATACAATTATCATACTTATTGTAATCACACTTCTTTTAGCATTTTACTGTATTTGTTACAAAGAAAATAACTTGAACAAAAAGATATAAAGCTAAATAAAAATTATTACCTAGTAACTTGTGTCCCCGTTACATTTTCCAACATGTCACAGAGTGTGAGAAAAATCCCTCTCACACTTTTAAGTTTCTGAGATGCATCAGACATTGGATAATGATAAAGAATTTCTTGCTGTTAAGTGAAAGAAAACAGAAATGATCAAACTGCTCAAAATTTCCAGTCATTATTTTTCTGATGGAAAGTTGAGACTTTGTATTTAGCTTTGGTGCAAACTGTATTCAAATAGAACTATGCCTGGAATCTTAACACACTAACTAGTATTTAAAACACTACATTCATAAGTTATAAAACAAGTTATAGGTTATAAGTTAGAGGATATATAAAATAAGTTATAGGAAAATAAGTTAGAGGTTGCCAATTGGTCATACTACCACACTATATGCTAGGTAGAATACTGATTAAGTGAAGTTACAATTAATTTCAAACTTTTAAACTTTAATCTTAATAATTCCTAATATTAATATTTTATTATATTTTATTACACATATATTCTTATCCACCATGACTATAAAGCTATCCACACTACATGTAATTTTTAGGAATCTTTCTATTCAGTTACTTTCATAATTAACTTTGAAAACTTTATTTTTGGTAAAATTATTAAATACTTATTTAAGCCCAACACCAAAACTACAACTTAACAAAGTAAGAAGACAAAAGTAAAGTAATTCAGATAGAAAGGAAAAAGCATCACAATATTATAAAATGTCTTTAAATTTGAAAGAATTTGCAAACTTTAAGTGACTCAAGTCACAATGCTAAATGGGATTATATTTTAAATTACAGAAAATATTAGATCTATAAGATACTGCACAAAATGCTATTTCCCCCCCCTACATTTAAGAAGAGTATATTTCCAGGGGGGAAAATGGCCTTTACAAAGTAACAGATCTAAAAGGCAGGATATGCACCATGCTAATACTTCTAAAATACCAAGAGATGAACCATTGTATGTCTCACTTTTTTGCTCCTAAAGCAACATATATTTTTCTCATAAGACAAATTAAAGCAGGTAAAAGTTTCTAGACAGAAGCCATTCACAATTAAGAGTAATGCATTGTTTAATGAGTATATCATAAATATAGTCATAGTTGAAAGACCAATTCATTGAATTTTATGCTATCTTTTCCTTAGTTCTCTCTAAAGAATTTAATAACTTGGCTTTATTCTCTAAGAAATAATTACACAACACTGCATTCATGTATAGGTAACTTTTAATGACAACTATAAATAATGATTAACTGGACACATCTGCTTTTTGTATTTACTAGGCACATTCAATGTATGCAGTATTTGGCCAATACTATGGCCTAAAATGTCAAGATTACTTGAAAAATTTCCACAGCAAAAAAGTTACATTATTTTATCCATAGAAATTAATCAAACATAAATTAAGATTTCATGTTATGTCTACTAAATAAATTTAACTTTGGCCAATAAATATTTTTATTATATTTATCCAAAATACTAAAAAAATTTAAACAAATCTTTGACTAGGTTTTGAAGTATCACAGCTTATGGTCCTTTCATTCCACATCTTGTAACTGAAGAAGAAAAACTTTTATAAAATGTGTAACTCACAGATAACAAAAATGACCCTCTGATATTTCATTGTAAGTAGGTTCTAATAGTGGAAAAGGCCATTAAGAGAGTCTCTATTCCAGACAGTAGTAAAGATCTGACAAAAACTACAGCTCCTTGCCAATTTAATTAGCTGTATTTTTAAGCACTTGTAAGTAGCATGCATTTGTAGCAGCTTCCATTCTGCTCAATAAGAATAAAGAGCCTGTCTTAATTGCAATGTTGATACATGGCTGGCAACAGACAGAAACTGTTGATCTAAGAAATATCTCCACACTTTCCCAGGGAAAGAAAGGAAAGGATGACAAAAGGTCTCAGCAGTACCCTATTCCAAAATGACCTAAAAGATTCAAGTTATTATCCCTGAATTTGTTGCATATTTCATATGATAAAAGCTTAAATGACTCATTTGTTTTAAAGATATAAGGAGCCAATAATATACATACACAATTACAATTATAAACTCTCAGTCGCTGTATTTTCAAAGCATATAAAATTGCAAAAATATGTATAAAGTAAATTCCTTCTTGGTCATTTCAATTGTTAATTTTGAGACATGAAGCAGCAACACAAAGAAATGTGTCCTTTGGATAAAATGCCTTTGGCATTTGTAATACAGGATGAATAGACTTCAAAAACAAAGAAATGCAGATTAGCTAAAAACTTTTAAAATTCATTTCTGCTCAAAGCATTATGGTAGATTAAATGCTCAGAGAGACTGTGACATTGTAAAAGCAGACCCAAAACATTCTTGTTGGATTGCTGGCATGCAGGAAGTAGGAGGGAATTCCCTCTTTCTACTATTGCAAAGGAAGCTGGAATGCTGCTGAGCAGAGGGCAGGACAACAGAGGCAACATTATGCTGAGGGTTGATGCCTACCACAGCTTCAGTCAGAAAAAAGAACACTGACTGGATAGTGGCAGATAGGTGAGGTGAGCCTGTGACCTAAGTTAAGCCCGGATCCTCAAGTAAGGCTAACAAGTCCTAGCGTCAGTGGCAGAAATAGAAGAAAATCCTCCCAGGGAAGAGTCCCATTTTAAAAGTATAAGACATCCAAAGCAAAATTAAGCAGTGTGTTTAAATAAATATCCTTAAGACACAAAAAGACAACCAACTTGTTACAGTTTGGGTTTTAGATGCCTCTTAAAGACCCACATGTGAAAGGCTTAGTCACCAGCTTGTGCTAATGAGAGGTGATGGGACCTTCAGAAAGAAGTTGGGGCCTAGTGGAAAAAGAGTTAGGTCTCTGGGGGCGTGCCCCTCAAGGATATGGAGACCCGAGGCCTTTCCACACACTGTTAGGATCCTGCCACTATGAGGTGCACCTTTGCTCCACCATGAGCTCCCCGCTATGACGTTCTACCTTGTGACAGGTAGGAAAAGAACAGAGCCAAAGACCACAGATTAAACCATAAATCCAATGAACACTGCCTCTTTTTAGGGCTAAGTATTTTGTCAGTGACAGAAAACTATCACTATAAGTGAGTCTCCTGACATCTTGAGATAGCAGTGTGGGAAATACAGACTGGAGAAGATCAAATGGCTAGAGAAATAGAGAATCACAAGGACCAAAGAACCAAAGAACAAGAAAATACCAGTAATATCATGGTTGATCTGAAATACAGATTTATTAGAAACTTTTCAAGAACATCTGAAGCTGAAAACATAATTATTTAAATAAAAAACCCAATGGGTAGGTTAAACAGCAACTGGAATGTGGCAGAAGCAAGAAACTGAACAAAGACAAGAAAAAGTGCATTCCTGACAAAGAAACCACTGACAGCTTTGCCACAGCAGTAACGAAAGTCAGAAAACAAAAGGGTGCTATTTTTTTTTAATTTTACAGAGAAAAAATTTCAAATAACAATGAAACAGTTTCAGAACAGGTTAATAGGACAGTTACAATAATTAACACATTGTGTATTGTTCATAGTAGCTGTTCAGAGTACAACAGGCATGAAATACTGTCCAAACAGTTTTAGTACAAATTTGTTTAATGATCTGAGAAACGAGCTATTTTAACTATCTTGTGTGTACGTGTTTGTGTGTGTGTGTGTGTATATATAAATATATATATATATCCCCCCCCCCTCCTTTTCCCTTCTTTCCCTTTCTCTGTTTTCCCATCACAGGTTTTCTTTTCTTTTGGACAATTTCTTCCTCATTCACATTATTTATTGTACAGGTTGGGTCTTATTATTTGGTTTCTTACACTAGTGAGACAATATATTTACACATGAGGGTCTGATTTACTTCATTTATGAGTACGGTCTCAAGTTGCATCCATTTACCTAGAAAAGTCTCAGGTTTATCCTTCTGTATGGTTGAATAGTATTCCATTATATTAAAAAAAAAACCACATCTTGTTTTATCCATTCCTTAGTTGATGGGCATTTGGGTTGTTTCCAAGATTTAGCTATTACAAATTGTGCAGCTATAAACATGTGTACACACACAGTTTTGGTATGATGTTTTTAATTCTTCTGGGAAGATATCAGGAAGGAGAATAGCCAAGTCAAATGGGGCCTCTAATCCTAGCTTTCGGGAAATTCCACACTGATTTCCATAGTGGGTGTACAAGTCTACACTCCCACCAACAGTGGAGAAGCGTTCCTTTTTCCCAACAGACCCTGCAGCATTTATTATTGGTTGATTTCTTGATGATAGACATTCTTTCTGGAGATGGAATCTCATTGTTTTAATATGCATCTTTTCAATGACCAGTGATGAATATTTTTTCATATATTTATTTGTTGTTCGTATTTCTTCATCTGAGAAGTATATATTCATATCAGATGCTCATTTTTGGATTGAGTCTTTGAATTTGGGGTGTTCAATTCTTTCAGTTCTTTGTATGTTCTAGATAGATATCCTTTGTCTGAGGGACAATTGGCTAAAATAGTTTTCTACTCTGTCGGTTGACTCTGCACGTTGTTGGTGATTTCTTTTGCTGTCCAATACTTTTTAGTAAGAAGAGATGCCATTTATTTACTCTTTGAAGTAATTCTCATGCAGTCTGGGTTTTGTTCATGAACTCTCTGCCTACACCTATGTCTTCAAGATTTTTATCTATTTTCTCTTCCAGAATATTTAGTGTTTCTATATTAATATTTAGATCTTTGTTCCATTGTGACGTTAGCGCATGTGATAGATATGGGTCTAGTTTTAATATTTGGCACGTGGAGAGCCAATTTTTCCAGCACCATTTATTTATTTTTGTCTTTTTCCTTTTTATCGGTACCAGGAATCGAACTCATGACTGCCTGCTTGCAAGACAGGCACTTATGCCGCTGAGCTAAATCCCCAGCCCCTCAGCACCATTTATTAACAGGCTTCCTTTATTCCAGTGAACATGTTTGGTCCTTTGTCAAAGATAAGGTGGCTGAGTGTGTTTGGAGTTGTGTCTGCACCTTCTAATCTATTCCACTGATCCGCAGGTCTGTTTTGTTGCTCCTTTGTTCAAAACAAAGTTGTTAAGTGTGGACAAACCACTACCTTGCTTGGCCTGTTGCTTTCCAGTGTTTCCTGG